TCGTGTTCCAATGAGCTGCATTCCCAGCTAGTCTATTTCCCTGTCTCGGTTTGGTTGGTGCAGCCTGTTTTGGCAGGGGCCAAACCTTAATCTTAAATCCAAACTCCTGAGCTTCCCAGGGTGATTCAGGTTTGAATTTGATTCGGGGCCCATTTTCCAGTTTGGATGTTTCTGAACTCTCATGGGAGTAGCTGATGCCACAGCAGCACGGCAGAAATCGTGCACAACCAATCCCCTGCCGTTCCGGGTCGCTGGCTGAGCGCTAATGCGCTTGGCACTGTCGGAAACACCAGAGGAGACATCCTGGTACGTCCTCTCTGCCAAAGCCCGGCAGCGCAGTGGCTACAGGCTCAGGCTATGGTTGCATCAAGGAGCAGGAAGGAAAGTGGAGTGAGGAGCAATGGTCTGAAGTTGCAGTGGGGGAGGTCTAGGTTGGATATTAGGAAAAACTATTTCCCTAGGCGGGTGGGGAAGCGCTGGGGTGGGTTCCCTAGGGAGGGGGTGGAATCTCCATCCCTAGAGGTTTTTGAGTCCCAGCTTGACAAAGCCTTGGCTGGGTTGATTTAGTTGGGGTTGGTCCTGCTTTGGACAGGGGGCTGGACTTGATGACTCTTGAGGTCTCTTCCAGCCCTGGGATTCTAGGATTCTAAGGTCTCCAAAGACACCCGGGGCCCAGTTCCGTCATGGCCCAAAGACGATGCAAGTTTCGCACTGGGAATGAATTGCTTGGCAAATGGACGTAAGAGGGCAGCGGGGCTCCTTGTACTGATGGGGAGAGCAGGGTTTGAACCTCTTTTGTCATTCTCACGTTAGCGGCTTTACCAGCAGCACTGCCTTTCAGTGTGTGCGTCACGCTCAGCCCTCACGTCACCGAGTGACAAACGGGTCCAAGACACACCCTCTTGCCCCCTCCAGGTTTCTGATCCGCCCCGTTTGTGCATGGAGTAGCCAAAGGCACCCTCCCGTTCCGAGTGGAGACAGACCTTGCTAACGACTACAGATGGGCCACTGAAGCAGTGCTTGGATCTGGAGCTGGGTTCAAGGTTCCGGCCCGTGGGACTCACAACGCATAGAGTTTGGACTCCAAATGGCGGAAATCTGAGAAGATCTTTCCGATTCTAAGCTCCCTACGGGAGGAGGCGTGTTACTCAGAGCTGAGTACTCCAGCACTCGGCACGCGATCCCATTTGTGCCATGCTGATCTTGAACTAGATCCCCCGGCTCTCATGGGAATTGCATTTGTTTACTTCAGATGACATCTGGAAGAGCTGGGTCCGCCCTGGAAGTGCTCAGCTCAACCTCCCCCCCAACCCGCTATTTTTTTACCTTTGCTATTCCCAAATGGCCACCTCACTACCAAAGTGCTTGTAAAAGGCGAGCAAGGCCACGCCTTAGCAAGCCACCTCTGCCCAGAGCAGAAGTCTGAGTGCCAGCGTTTGACTGATTTCTTGTACATTCTCACTTGCATCATAAATAACCCAGGGAACTTGCGATGCAAAATTCCGAGTGCTGCATCTCTACGAAGCACACATCCTTCTAGCACGCATCTGCACGTGCACAGCTCTGTTCTACAGCCCTTCAAGGCCCGGGGCAATTCTTCTGCACATGCACCCGTGGATCACGCTTCCCCATTCTTTGACTCCTGCGCGTTTTACTTGTTAATTTAGAGGGGCAAATTCTCATTTACACAAAGGATTTACACTGCTCTGGGATCCACTTGAAAGGCCCTTTCCGCTGCCAGAGTGGCACGCTGCCGTGCAAATGAAAATCCGACCCCGAGGTCTTTTCTCCCCGCAGTTCAAAACTGTAATTCCCGTTTTGCATTTGCATTCCGGGGCTGCAACCCCTCGTAAAACACACTCACAGATTTGAGCTAGACTCAGCCCCCGGAGGAGGAGTGCAATGTGAATCTTTGTACGGAAGGATGGGTGAAGAAAAAATCTTGTTGGCAAGCTGCACAGAGCCTAGACTTTCAAGAAGCTTGGCGTTTAGGATGCTCTACATCTTTCAGGACCAGCTGATAATTTTACAAAAAGAAAATTTCATCCAAGCTCGGTCTGAAAGTTCACTATTGTAATCGAAAGAAGCTGGACATGAGTCATCAGGATGCCCTGGTAGCCAAGAAGGCGAATGGCATATTGGGGTGCATTCAGAGGAGCATTGCCAGCGGACCTAGAGAAGTGATTATTCCCCTTTATTCGGCTCTGGTGAACCCACATCTGGAGCATTGTGTCCAGTTCTAGGGCTCCCATTACAGGAAGGATGTGGATGCATTGGAGAAAGTCCAGCAGAGGGCAATGAAAATGATAACGGAGCTGGAGCACATGTCTAGAGTTGCCAGGTGTCTGGTTTTCACCCGAACAGTCCGGAAATCGCATCTTTCCCGTAAAAAAACCCAGAAAATACTGGACAAGTGCAATGTCCGGTATTTTCAGCTTTTCCAGCTGGGCACCCGACGGAAGCCTGGCGGGGGCGGGGGGAGTGGCTGGGGAGGCGGGGCCACAATCGCATTTCGGCGCTGGGAGCCGAGCCCTCTGCTGGTCGCTTGTGTCTCGTTGCGTCTGACGAGGGAGTGACGCCTTGGGGAGGAGGTAGTCTGGACAGACGCCCGCAGGTGCCTTCTGACTGCATATTTAGGCTCCCTCTATGGGCTCTTGTCTCAGCCAAAACTGACTGGGGTAGAATTTCTGCCTGTTCCCACCGGAAAATTGATAAAGGCCGCATAATGTAATGTAAAATATAGGATGAGGACTGTTGAGATTGTTGTTAATGAAGTTCCCATTGGGTGTTAAGCATGGTGTTGGGTTTTGTTTTGTTTTTTGCTCAAAAATTGTTTAGCACGTGTGTTCGGTATTTTTTTTAAACCATCTGGCAACCCTACACATGACCTATGAGGAGAGGCTGAGAGATTTGGGCTTATTTAGTCTGCAGAAGAGAAGAGTGAGGGGGGATTTGATAGCAGCCTGCAACTTCCTGAAGGGGGTTCAAGAGAGGAAGGAGAGAGGCTGTTCTCAGTAGTGACCGATGGCAGAACGAGGAGCGATGGTCTCAAGTTGCAGTGGGGGAGGTCTACGTTGGAGATTAGGAAAAACTATTTCCCGAGGCGGGTGGGGAAGCGCTGGGCTGGGTTCCCGAGGGAGGGGGTGGAATCTCCATCCCTAGAGGTTTTTAAGTCCCGGCTTGCCAAAGCCCTGACTGGGTTGATTGAGTTGGGGTTGGTCCTGCTTTGGGCAGGGGGCTGGACTCGATGGCCCCTGAGGTCTCTTCCAGTCCTGGGATTCTATCATAGAATCATAGAATCCCTCAAGGCGGGACCAAGCTCCGTCTGCGCCATCCCTGACAGATGTCTATCTAACCTGTTCTTAAATATCTCCAGAGAGGGAGATTCCACCACCTCCCTTGGCAATTTATTCCAATATTTGACCACCCTGACAGTTAGGAATTTTTTCCTAATGTCCAATCTAAACCTCCCCTGCTGCACTTTAAGCCCATTACTCCTTGTCCTGTCCTCAGAAACCAAGAGGAACAAATTTTCTCCTTCCTCCTTGTGACACCCTTTTATATATTTGAAAACCGCTATCATGTCTCCCCCTATGATCATCTCAGTTCTGCCAAGTCCAGCAGAGACAGGAGTAACTTTGTGATTTTACTGTCACCACCTTGGCCGGCCCCTTTCCCCATCACCCTTGATCTTTACTTGTTGCAAAACACCAAAGCAAGGCCATCTATCCCTGCGGGCAGGGAGTGTGCCTGTGAAGCGCACACAGGCACTTCTGGAGGCTCAAGACAGAACTATATCTTGTGACCCAGAAGCCGCAGGTCAGCCCAGGCCCACGCCATGGGGCCGTTCGCACGCTGGCCTGTGTTCTGTGCCAAGTCCCACATCGCTCAGAAAAATCTCTTTCAAATGATTTAGAAATGTCACTGGAGCTCATTTTTGTATCTGTTCACACGCAGGTTCCTTGCAAGCCCCGAGTCCAACCTAACAGGGCTCGGCGGCGCAGGGACGGCTTACAAATACGAGTCTAAATTAGACTGCGCCATGGTAATGTTCAAATCAGATTCCTCTGGATCTTCCTTTCTATAGTCCTTTGGAGTGGGAGTCACTGGGTCTTAGCTATGGACCATCGATACATGGCTGAATGTTTCCTCTCTTGAGCCTTGATCACGTTCATTTTGCAGGGAAATTGTAAATCAGAGCGGCAGAAGGAAACATTTCCCTGTGTATATGGCGACACATTGAGTCAGCTACGCATGATTCAGCTATATAGTAGGCAGAGAGGCCACAAATTACCCCCCATCCATGTCAGTGGCACACAACTGAGGGTAGAATACGCGACTGGATTGCATTGACCCTGCAGGGGTGTGTCCTGCTGCATGCGGAGCACGCCCACACCCTCTGATGCAATGCTAGAAACCGGATCTTCCCAGACAGCTACAGGGGGTGTACGCCTGCTCCGGGAGCATCCCAGCAAGCCGGCTCTTTGCTAGTACTAATAAATAATATTCTCAGAGCCCTGCGCAGACACAATGTTTTGTATCCGCATCAGTATTGGTGAAACTGAGCCGTGGAGATCTGCGTCCGCCTCTGAGAATGCGGATACCAGGGATATAAACAGACAGCCGCAAATTTGCCCGGTTCTAGATACAATATTTGTATTCATATCCGCAAAAACGAGCCGGGGATATAGAGCAGCTCTCTGTGGATTTGCAGGGCTCTAAATATTACCTCAGGAACTTCGCTGTTCTAAGAATTTGCTTGTCTACAGCCCTTTCTATCCAGGGCTCTCCAAGTGCAACACGTCATGTGTGAAGCCTCACAGCTCCTCAGGGAGAGAGGGAAGCATGAATATCCCCATTTTACACACAGAGAAACAGGGGCAGGGAGACGAAGGAACTAGGCCAAGGTCGCGGAGTCGCTCTTAAGAGTTCCTGGCTCCCAGTCCTGTGCTAAGACCAGTGGCTTGCCCCGGCTGGCCGTTTCCTGGCTGCCGTCTCACCTGGTATCTGTCTGAGTGATGGATATCGTCTGAGGAGTGAGGCGAGGCTGTTCGCGAGTCCCCTTCCCGCTTGATTGAGGCTGACAACAAAATTGACTGCAAGAGAAAGGGAGGAAAGGAGAAATTTACACTGTGAGCAAGGCAGAGCAATGATACATCACAGGCGGTGTCAAGGTCTTTCCCATTCCCAGCAGAAATGTGTTGTCTCTCTGGCCGACAAATACTGCAGCAAGCCCAGAGCGGGCATGTTAGCATGGCCGACAGCGGGAGGGGTTGGCTTCTCGGCTGGGGGAGAGCCCAGGCCATGCGGCCTTATGGTTGGGCTGGGTCTGAGAGCAGCAACAAGCGATCAATTCCCACAGCTGAATCCCAAGTTATCTAAAGTTGTAAAATACATATTTGTATCATCTTGTAGCACTGAGTAGACACATAGACTCCATGAAACCCAAAACCCACACCAGAGAACATCCTTCAACAGATGAAAGCATAACAACCATAAAAAGCATTGACTGTTAGCATACATTCACGCTACACTCACTAACAAAGATGCTTCATTCATATACATTGTACTGTAATTTACTATTACTCTGGAATATATTTTAATAGATAGTGTCTAGAAGAACAGACTTTTGCACAAGGTTATGGACCAAATCAGCAAATTATTTTTATTTGTGACATCAGAAATATATTGATAACCTTCAACGCAACAGCGGGGAAGCATAAATTCAGTGCATCCCACCACTAATGAGAAATCACAGGAATAGTGGACAATACTTAAAGGACATGCCTCCAGCAATAATTTAATGTAATTAGTAGAAGATTTGAAGGAAAAAGTCTATGAAACATTCAAATTTTTTTGGCTGGTCTACACTAGAAAGTTATGTGGACCCCACAATGTTGCTCTCCCCTCTAAGGCTGTGTCTACACTAGGAAACTATTTTGAAATTACCAAATTCGACTTAGGAACTCCTGATTTAACAAATTCGATCCAGCGTGTCCCTACTACGGGGAAGCCTCGAAATTCGTCCAAGGCAGGCTCCATTAATATGGACACGCTAACTCGGACTTAGAGTCCCAGGAAGCACTGGGGAGTAATTAGTTCGAATGACTCTGCAGAGTAATTAATTTGAATTAGCGGCACTGGAGCATCCAGACTACCGTTATTTCCAAATTACTATTCTGGAATTAGCATTACTCCTGATGAGAAGCAGGAGTACAGAGTTCGAATTCCGCGGCTTGTGATTTTGAAATATCGGGCTTGGCAGTGTGGACGCACAGCTTACAAATTTGAACTTGGGGGGGGGGGGTTATTTTAAAATAAGGTCCTGGCGCAGACCAAGGCTTAGAGATGTAGATAAGCCGACCTAAGCCCCAGTGTAGACAGTGCTGCATTGATGGAAGAACTCCTCTGTCAACACAACTACCGACTCTTGGGGAGATGATTGACTATAGCGATGGAAGAACCCCTCCTGTTGCTGTAGTAAGCGTCTACACTACAGGCTGGCAGAAGTGCAGAGGCCACAGTTCCGCAGTAGCATTTCTAGTATAGACCCAGCTTGAATGTCTGCCCAAGCGACACAGTAAAACAAGCTCACTCCGGCTCACCAAGATGTGTTTCTGAGGGGCAGGCGGTAGGCTGCAGCAGTAAGAAAGGATTGCTCAGAGGTGGGTGAGTCCACAAAGGGAAAGAAGAAAATTACCAGACGTAACCAGGCCAAGTGTGGGGATGGTACCGTTAGAAGGCACAATCCCTCAGGCTACGTCTACACTACGGCTGTGTCTAGACTGGCAAATTTTTCCACAGAAGCAGGTGCTTTTGTGGAAAAACTTGCCAGCTGTCTACACTGGCCACTTGAATTTCCACAAGAACACTGACGATCTCATGTAAGATTGTCAGTGTTCTTGTGGAAATACTACGCTGCTCCCATTTGGGCAAAAGCCCTCTTGCGCAAATGCTTTTGCGCAAGAGGGCCAGTGTAGACAACGCGGTATTGTTTTGCGCAAAACCGCGTCTAGATTGGCACGGACACTTTTCCACAAAAAGTGCTTTTGTTTTCCGCAAATGCTTTTAACGGAAAACTTTTCCGTTAAAAGCATTTGCGGAAAATCATGCCAGTCTAGACGTAGCCTACAAGATTATTGCGCAAAAACCGGCAGAGCATCCACGCCTCAAGCATGTTTTTGCACAAGTAAATCAGCAAAACAGAGGGATTTTTGGGGTAGAGTTATTCCTCTCTCCACGAAGAATAACTCCTTTTCGTGCTACAGCTCTTGCGCAAAAAGGCAGGTGTGGATGCTCGGGAGGGGTTTTTGCGCAAGAAACCCCTATTGGCAAAAGCACAGATGCTCTGATGGCCATTCTGTGAATGGCCATCAGAGCTTTCTTGCGCAAGAGTATCCATGCAGTGTGGACGCTCTCTTGCACAAAAGCACATCACTTTTGTGATATGTTTTGAGATCTGGACACGCTTTTGCACAAGGCGTTTTTGTGCAAGAACTCTTCCGCAAAAGGCTCAGAGGAAGGAGAACTTGCCACACACCTCTGCCTTTGGGCTGGCATTCAACATGGAAAAATCTCAACCCCAAATGTGATTTTTTCCCAGAGCTGTGAGTGGCTGGGAAGAGCACATCAAACGAGTCGGTGGAACAGAAGGGCCCGCTGACCAGATGCATGTGCCAGGATGGGGGCATGCCGATACTGCATTGTAAGCCTGGCTGTGGGCACCAGGCCTTGTGGATTCAGTGGTTCCCAGCCCACGTCTGAGCGTCCACACTGGGTTTAGAGTTGCCGGCCCCGGTTCTCACAGCCGTGCTAACGCATCCAGACTGCACTGCGCAGAGCTTCAGCAGGCACTGAAAAACGACACTGCTTGGCTGGAGCGCTGCTCTGCCCCCATAGAAGATTCCTTTAGGCCGTGGGGCCTGGGTGCTGGCTAACCCAAGTCAGTGATTTGGGTGTGGATGGAAGGAAGGCTTGGGCTCAAGCATGAGTCAGACCTCGGGTGTAGTGCGCAGTCTAGACAGAACCGAGTGGTCAGCCCATGGGGATTCTCACACGGCCCTAATCTAAGTAGCTTGCTAGAGGAGAGGGAAGCGTCGCTGGAGTTAAGCCCTTGTTCGTCAGGGAGCAGGGGATCTCCCTGACCAAGGCAGGGCTTCAGGGAAGGTCCTGATGTAACCCGGACGCGGCTTCCCTGCGTGAGGAACGTTCGTGCACGTCAGGTGAGCCAGTGACCGGGGAGAGTAGGGCAAGGGAGGCAGGCTCTTGCCTCTAGCTGAGTTTCCCACAATGCACTGCCCTGCCCTGGGCTACTAACATGGCTGCATACGGTGGCATCTCCCTTTCCCCTCCTTAGTGCCACGGTGAATTATTTCGGCAGTGGCTCCGTAACACGTCTCAGCGGCTGCCGGGGGGATGGGGAAAGGAACCCCCCCCGCCCCCGAACAGCGGGACAAGGCGGCATTGGAAAGGCCCGAGATGGCGGAACGTGCTGAAAAATGAAGGCGGAGGGGTCTCGGCCTGCGTCTGAGAGCTCCCCGTCTGGCTTAGGGCAGCCCCCCCGTGTAGCAAACCCTCCTGAAATAAGCTGACCATCCCGGTGCTGGGGGTGTGTGTGTGAAAAACACGTCATCCTCCAGGCGAGAAAAACACACAGCGCCCCCCCCGCCCTGTCCGAGATGGCGGAACGTGCTGAAAAATGAAGGCGGAGGGGTCTCGGCCTGCGTCTGAGAGCTCCCCGTCTGGCTTAGGGCAGCCCCCCCGTGTAGCAAACCCTCCTGAAATAAGCTGACCATCCCGGTGCTGGGGGTGTGTGTGTGAAAAACACGTCATCCTCCAGGCGAGAAAAACACACAGCGCCCCCCCCGCCCTGTCCCCCCCACCGCCGGTAGCTCTAATCCAATATTATTATGTGAAAAATGGCCGGGCGCGCTCCGGAGACAGTAAATTAAACGTTATGTATTAGTTTTTAGCGTGCGGTCCCGGGCAGCACGCCGGCCCCATTTATTCCACCGCCCTCCCGAGCACCATGGCGATGACCTCTGGCAAAGCGCAGGGCTAAACTAATCCCAAAGATGTCAGTCTCGAGGCCTCTTCTACATACACTTGCAGTTTAGATTAATAAACTGTCTATTTTTACATGGCAGCCCCTCCCCAGCCTGTGGAACCCCGCGCTCGCCGGGCCCCGGCGCACTTCCCCAGGGCTGGGCGCAAACCGGACTTCATTTGCTTTTCTCATTTCCCCGCGACGCGGCGGGAGCTTTGCCGGCCCGGCACGTAGGCCTGAAGACGGGGGAAAGCAGGCGTAGGGCCTGGGGGTTAGAAACTCGCCACGGTCTGAGACCAACCTTATTTCTGCATGAGGCCGACCCCAATTTTGGCGCCTCTATCCTAACCAGTCGTTTCACGGCTGCCTCCTGGCATCTCAGTGCTGGAGGGGAAGGGCGGAGGGGCTCTGCCGTGGCACCAGCCCCCAGGAGCACCTGCCCTCTGCAGGCCGCAGGCGTAGGGCCTGGGGGTTAGAAACTCGCCACGGTCTGAGACCAACCTTATTTCTGCATGAGGCCGACCCCAATTTTGGCGCCTCTATCCTAACCAGTCGTTTCACGGCTGCCTCCTGGCATCTCAGTGCTGGAGGGGAAGGGCGGAGGGGCTCTGCCGTGGCACCAGCCCCCAGGAGCACCTGCCCTCTGCAGGCCGAGCTCATGCCTGCCCCGCTAGCACAGCTAGCATGGAGAGAGCAGGGTAGTAGTGCCTAGTGGTGCTAGCGCTGCCCCAGTCTTCGTGCTCAGGGCGCAGGACTCCCATGGGGGAGCAGGCTCTCTTTCCCCAGCCCTTGGACAGTCCCTGACTGGCCGCTGACAATTTCCGTGCAGAATGACCAGCACCAGGATGACCCAAGACAGCCAGTTAGGGAAGATGAAGCCGTTGCATGTCTTGGACCGAACCACCAAGCTGTGGCACAAATTCTGGTCCAGGCTTTCCAGGGAGAAGCCAACAACCCCCTGAAGTTGAATCTCCTCAGGGGAAAAGTCCATCACTGGGTCCAGCAAGAGGCCCGGAGACATGGGTCGGAGAGCCGGGGATGCGAACACAA